GCAGCGCTGGGATCTGTGTTTGAGGGGCAGGGAGTGCAGCAGCAATCAGAATTCCTGGCTCTGCTTTTCCTGCAGTGACTTGCAGTTGCTCTCTGGCTGCTGCCCGGGCCGGGCGTGATGGGGAACTCGTCTGGGGGAGTTGTTCTTTCTGCAGAATTAGCTCAGCTCTGACTTCCCCAAAGCCCTTCCGTGCTGCACTTCCCTCTTCTTGTTCCTGTTCCTGCCCAGCTGTGGAGGCACCTGCTGCTGGCTGGGCTTCTGTGGGGCTGCAGCATCCCCACCCTGGCAGAGGGTGGGACGCTCCCTCCTCCTCTCCATCACCAAAGGACATTTCCTTCGGCTGCCAAACTTGGCCAGCAAAGTCCTCGAGGCCACCGGGGCTTCTCTGCTCCGTGTCATGATGGAGTTCTGAGGCTCAGAGGGAAAGGGACAGGGAATTGCTTGGGTTTGGAGCCAGAGAGAGCAGAGGAGGAGGTTGTGAGCATGGGCACGGGGGCTGGGAGAAGACAAGGGCTGATCCAGAGGCTCTCTGAGGAGGCCCATCCTGCCCAGTGATGGGTGCTGCCCGTCTGCTCAGCGTGTTGGCACCTTGCAGGGGTGAGAAGCTCCCTCAGAGCCAAGGATGGTCCCAAATCCCTGCCAGGGCTCCCTCACTGAGCCCCACACCAGGCATTTGTCCCTTCCTGTCACTGGTAGGACCCATCCCATCCCCTCCTTGCTGTGACAAATGGCACTGTCCTCGTGTTCCCCCTGGAATGGACCCACTCTCTTCTCCTCCTCCAGCCCCTCTGGACCTCTGTCAGCCCACATTGTGCTTGTGGTGTCCTCCTCCCTCATTTAATTATGATCAGGAGATCGTTAGCAGTGGGATGAGGCTGTGGCAGCCCCTGGCAGGGATTTGGGACCATCCCAAGCCTTGGCTCCTCGTGCCTGTCCTGGGGGAGAGCCTCACACCCAGCTTTGGAGCTGGGCCTGAGCAAGGCCAAATCCCAGCAGCTCTGTCCTTGGAATGTCTGTCCTTAGGCTGAGGAGAGGGAGACCTTGCAGTGGGGAGGGGAGGGAATGGCTGCTCTGGGGTAGATTTGGGATGGGGAGTTTGAATCCAAGGGCAAAGAGCCCTTTTCCCTGTGGTCAGAGTGCCCAGCAAGGCTGGTGAGGGTCTGGGAGATGGCCAGGAGCACCAGCTCCCCTGAGCTGGGATGGTTTGGGGCTGAAAATGCAGCTCTGAGGGAGGAAATGGCCTGGAGTGACGGAACGCTGCAGGGGAGGGGGGATTGGTGCTGCCAAAAACCGGGGCAGGATTGGTGCTGTGGGGGCCTGGGATGGCATCTGTGGTGACCAGGATGGGATAACATCCATGGTGACCAGGATGGGATAACACCCATGGTGACCAGGATGGGATAACATCCATGGTGACCAGGATGGGATAACATCCATGGTGACCAGGATGGGATAACATCTGTGGTGACCAGGATGGGATAACACCCATGGTGACCAGGATGGGATAACACCCATGGTGACCAGGATGGGATAACATCCATGGTGACCAGGATGGGATAACACCCATGGTGACCAGGATGGGATAACACCCATGGTGACCAGGATGGGATAACATCCATGGTGACCAGGATGGGATAACATCCATGGTGACCAGGATGGGATAACATCTATGGTGACCAGGATGGGATAACATCCATGGTGACCAGGATGGGATAACACCCATGGTGACCAGGATGGGATAACATCCATGGTGACCAGGATGGGATAACATCCATGGTGACCAGGATGGGATAACATCCATGGTGACCAGGATGGGATAACACCCTTGGTGGCCAGCTGACCCCAGGCTAGCATTTTCCCTGAGCTGGGAGCCCAGAGCAGAGGGCCCAGGGTGTAATTTTGCTCCTACCTGCCCAGTTAATCCCATTTTCACCCAGCTGCCACTGCTGGTTTAAGGAGTTTAAGGCCCTTGCTCTGCTCTCCTGCAGGAAAACTCTGCTTTTGTTGTTTTTTAAGATATTTGAGTGGTCTGATCCCAGCTTTGCAGATCTGGGACGTTGGGTCTGGTGTGTCGGTGGCTGGGAGTGCTGGCCCATCACCCTCCATCATCTCAGAAAGCTGCAGACTCGCTGTTTCCCAGGGATTTCCCAGGGCCCCGATTTCCCCCAGCTGCAGAATGACCTCAGCAGCTCGAGACACCCCTCAGTCCTGTTTGTGCAGAGCTCCAGATGGGGGGAGCTGGTGCTGCTGCCTGTGCTGAGTTCAGCTGTGCTCAGTCCCTGCTCCAGGAGCCCCCAGGGTGACTCTGTCCCCCCAGAGCCTGGCTGAGTCCTCCCTCGGTGGGCTCTGCTCCTCCTCCTCCTCCTCCTCCTCTTGGGGGATGCTCTTTGTGCTTCCTGGAGGAATCTGCTCCATGGTGGAGGAGTCCAGGGAAAACCTGGCATCCTCTCCCCTGCCAGGTGGGAATGGCCTTTGAGCCACCGCTGTGTCCCTCTGTCCTGGGGCCTGGCTGAGCCTGTGCCTGGCTGAGCCATGCTCAGATCCAGCGTGGGATTCTCCTGCTCCATCTGAAGCCTGCCTGGGACAGGGGTTTGGTTTCCCAGCCCAGGGTGGGGGTTTGGGAGCTGCAGCCCTGGAGCAGCACCTCAGGGGCTCCTCCCCAGCTCTGCATTTCCAGGGAGTCTCTTCCCTGACAGATCCACCAAGGATAAAGGAGTGGAACATGCTGCTGGGCTCTGGATTCATTCCCTTTTCCCTTTTTTCGTGTTTGATTCACTCCTGAGCGTGGTTTGATGTGATGGGTGAGCAATCCATGTGTGACCTGTTCCCAGAGCTGATTTCAGGCTGTGTGGAGCCATGGGGCTGGTGTCCCTTCCCTGGGATTGGTGTCTCTTCCCTGGGATTGGTGTCACTCCCCTGGGATTGGTGTCCCTTCCCTGGGATTGGTGTCCCTTCCCTGGGATTGGTGTCCCTTCCCTGGGATTGGTGTCACTCCCCTGGGATTGGTGTCCCTTTGGAGAACAGGCATCCCAAGCCTCTGGGCACTGGTTCTGTGTGCAAGCCCTGCCGTGCTGTTTCTCCCAGCTGGAAGTGGAAAGGATTTACAGTAACTGGTGTTTGTCCTGTGCCTGCTCAGGGCAGCTCGTGCAGCAGCTCCTGGTGCTTTGCAGCCCTGCAGAGTCAGCTCAGGGCTCCTGTTGGTTTAACTCTGGATTCTGGTGCACAGGGCAGGGGATCACCCACACTGGCAGAGTCACACAGGGACCTTGTCCCCTGTCCTGTGCTGTCTGGGCAGCTCAAGTCACTGGGTGACCATAGGGGTGGTTCCCTGGCTGCTTGGCAGCTGGGAGGACACAAACCATGGGTGCTGTGGAGCGTGAGCAGATAAATCCAGCTGAGGTGATCCTGGATCCTGCTCTTGCTGTCCCCAGTCATAAATGTTTCATGCTGTTTTACAGCTCCTTAAATCTTCCCTCCCTCCCTCTGCCCACCTGTCCATCCTGTGCTAGAGAACAGCCTCAGATTCTATCAGCCCAAAGTGATTTGGGATGAAGCCACTGCTGGTGCTCTCATGCCAGCACCGTCCTGGTGGCTCACAGCTCTTTTCCATCCCTGGTGTCTATCCTGGTCCAAAAGCTGTCCCCTTCCTTTTCATCTCCCTGCTTGCCTCTGACCTTGCCTGGATGGGCTTTGTCCCATCCCTGGGCACAGCCTGGGGGTGCACTCCCAGCTGGGACACCAGCAGGGCTGGCTTTTCCTGCTTTTCAGGCTGTTCCTGCAGTTGGGTCCCTCTGCAGTGACAATATCTCCGTTCCTGGCTGTGACAAGCTCGTCCTGGGATGAACCCTTCAGCAGGTGCCAGTCCTTGCTGGCATTTTCTCACCTGGCTTCCTGCTTGTCCCAGTGGAGCACCAGCACCATGCCCAGGGCTTCCTGTCCTTCCACACAGCTCTCCATTCCTGGGGTGCAGCCCCTCTGGAGCTGCTGTCTCAGAGCTGGAGCCCTCAGCAGGGCTGGGCTGCTCCGTTGAGTTGGTTCCTTGTTTGTGAGCACTTCTGGGAAGAACATTTGGAGGGATGAACTTCCCACCTCAGCTGCTCCATCCACAGGGGAGTCAGCCTGTGTTTATTTTCCATCTGTGCTTTTAGCAGCTCGCAGGGATCACCTGGCAGGATCAGCCATCCAAAACCAACACGAAACCGACTCTGTGGAAAAGCTTCCCAGCACTGCTGGGGGAAGCTGGGGCAGGAACAGGGAGCCAGAGAAAAAAGCACAAAATTCCCTGGGGCTGGCTTGTTTTCCAGCCTGTGCTTCCCATCCTGGCTAGGTGAGCTTCCTCCTGGCCCAGCTGCTGCTGCTCCAGGCTCAGGGAAGTGTCCCTGTGCTGGGCTCTCAGGGAGGGTTGTGCCAAGAGGAGCTGCCCCCAGTGTTTTCCCTGGGTTGGTTTCTCCATGCCCTGCCCTGCTCTGTTGCTGTAGCAGCCCAGGAGATCCCTGATTTAAGACCTGGGGCTCTTCTGCCCAGCCAGGCTGACCTTGTTGCAGGGATGAATCAGCAGTAAATGCCAGCCTGGAGCAGTCTGGGAAGAGCCTTTGGCTCTGTGTTGGGATGTGTCTGTGTCCCACTGCAGCTCCGAGCTGTGCAGCAGAATTTCTGCTCGGTTTCAGGTGAACCTCACCCACCCTGACAGGGCTCAGTGCTTTTGGGAGGCTTTGAAGTGGAAGTGCTCCAGAAACGCTCCAGCTGTGCCTCCTTCCCTGGTGCATCCCAGGAATCACCAAGGGACTTCACTCCCCCAAGGAAGTCCCTGAGCTCCCTGCAAAGCACTGGGACCAGTCTGAGGGGGAGCTGGAGGCCCTGGTGCCTGAGCTGGGCTGCTGGGGCACAGTGGGTCCAGCTGAGCTGGGGCTTGCAGGGGAATCTTTTGGGGACCCAAAGCAGAGCCATCGGAGGGCAAAGGTGGTTCTCCCTGGAATAATCCTTATCCTCATGGGAATAACCCATGTCCTTATAGGAATAATCCATGTCCTCGTGGGAATAAGCCATGTTCTCCCTGGAATAACCCTTGTCCTCATGGGAATAACCCATGTCCTCATGGGAATGACCCATGTTCTCCCTGGAATAACCCACATCCTCATGGGAATAACCCATGTCCTCATGGGAATAACCCATTTGCTTCTGGGAATAACCCATGTCCTCATGGGAATGACCCATATCCCTATGGGAATAACCCATGTCCTCATGGGAATGACCCTTATCCTCATGGGAATAACCCATGTCCTCATGGGAATAACCCATGTCCTTATAGGAATAACCCATGTCCTTATAGGAATAACCCATGTCCTCATGGGAATAACCCATGTCCTTATGGGAATGACCCATATCCCTATGGGAATAACCCATGTCCTCATGGGAATAACCCATATCCTTCTGGGAATAACCCATTTCCTTCTGGGAATAACCCATGTCCTCATGGGAATAACCCATATCCTTATAGGAATAACCCATATCCATATAGGAATATTCCCATATCTCTATGGGAATGACCCATGTCCTCCCAGGAAGAGGAGCAGGGTAGTGCCCCTGGCAGCTCTGAGTCCTGCCCTGATCTCATCCCAGTGTCCATTGGTTATCCCAAACCAGTGGGATGAGCTTGGCTCACCCAGGCCTTTGGAATGTTGAGGCAGGAAGCTGCTGATGGGCTGGAGGCCTTGGCTCTGTGCTGAAGGAGTCACTTGCTCCAGAGGGGATGTGGAAGTTCTGGATAATGTGATGGAAAATCTCTGCTCAGAGTTGGTGTTGCCTTCCCTTTGGGGCTGGCTCTGTTCCCTGCCCATCCTGGAGCTGCTGGGCCAGCCCAGTGCTCCCACAGCTCCCACAGCCGGGGGTTTCTCACTGGTGGGGAGTGAGCAGTGCCCAAGAGCCACAGGAACATTTCCTGGGGTCCCTGTGCCCCCCTGGGCTGTGCCCTGCTGCCCAGGGCAGGGCAGAGCACAGAGGGAAAGGGAAGGTGTTTGCCCTGAGAAAATCCATCCTCATCCTCATCCTCATCCTCATCCTCATCCCATCCTCATCCTCATCTCATCCTATCCTCATCCTCATCCCATCCTCATACTCATCTCATCCCATCCTCATCCTTATCCTCATCCCATCCTCATCCCATCCTCATCCCATCCTCATCCCATCCTCATCCCATCCTCATCCCTATCCTCATCCCTATCCTCATCCCTATCCTCATCCCATCCTCATCTCATCCCCATCCTCATCCCATCCTCATCCTCATCTCATCCCTATCCTCATCCCATCCTCATCCTCATCCCATCCTCATCTTCATCCTCATCTCATCCTCATCCTCATCCTCATCTCATCCTCATCCTCATCCCATCCCCATCCCCATCGGGGTCTCTTTCCCTCCTGTTCATGTTCCTGTGCTCCCGTTTCCACGCTGGTGTCTTTCCCTGGGCTCAGCGCAGGGTGAGGGATGCTGCAGGAGGGTGGGAGCAGCTCTGGTATGGGAACAGCTCTGGTTTGGGAACAGCTCTGGTTTGGGAGCAGCTCTGGTTTGGGAACAGCTCTGGTTTGGGAACAGCTCTGGTTTGGGAACAGCTCTGGTTTTGGGAACAGCTCTGGTTTGGGGAGCAGCTCTGGTTCCAGGAGCAGCTCTGGTTCCAGGAGCAGCTCTGTGGCTGCTCTCTCACTCATCCTGACAACAGCAGATGTAAAAACAGACCCCTGGTGCTGTCTCCCAGTGCTGCCTTTGGCACTGCTCCCTTGGCCCGGCCCTGGGGACAGCAGAGGGGTTCAGGGGTGTCTGGGACAGCTGGCTGTGCTCATTAACCAACTCAATTAACTCAATGAGTGTGCACAGCCACACTGGGGGGGCTGGGCAGCCTCTCCCACGTGGGACTGCCCCCGATCCCGTGACAGCCCAGGAATGGGAGCTGCAGACCCCTCTCAGCTCAGGAGCCTCCCTGGAGCTCACAGGGCCTCCAGCAGCTTCCCCTTCCCCGGGAGTTCTCTCTTTGAGGTTTCCTCTCTGCCCAGCTGGGGTGCAACGCTGCTTCGTTCCCCCTCAGCCACCCTGGGCTGCTCTCCAGGCCCTTCCCTGGGCATGGAAAACAGATCCTGGGGTTCTCACCTTGGGATCCACACCCAGCAGTGCTGGATCCATGGAGTGTCACAGGGAACAATGCACATTTGTTAGCAAAAGCGAATTTCCCCAGCCTGTGCCTTGTGCCTTCCATCTGGCTGGAGCTGCATTCCCTGGATGTGTCACCCTGGAGGTGTCCCTGGGCTATCCATTCCCTGGATGTGTCACTCTGGAGATGTCCCTGAGCTCTCCATTCCCAAATGTGTCACTCTGGAGGTGTCCCTGAGCTCTCCATTCCCTGGATTTGTCATTCTTGAGGTGTCCCTGAGCTCTCCATTCCCAAATGTGTCATCCTGGAGGTGTCCCTGAGCTCTCCATTCCCTGGATTTGTCACCCTGGAGATGTCCCTGGTTTCTCCATTCCCAAATGTGTCACCCTGGAGGTGTCCCTGGGCTCTCCATTCCCTGGATTTGTCACCCTGGAGATGTCCCTGAGCTCTCTGTGTGTCAGCAGGCTGTCACCTGGCAGGGCTGGGGGCAGGAGCAGCTCCCCACGGAGCAGAGGATGCTGATCCTGCAGGTTCCATGCTCTGGGAAGCACATTCCAGCTGTCAGGAGCAAGGGAAGGAACACAGACTGGGGCACAGCTCCTCAGCTGGGAGCAATCCTGCTCCTGATCCCCACCAGCTCCAGCTCTGGAGCAGAGTTCAACTTCATTTTAATTTCAGTTTTGTAACAGCAAAGGCTGCATGGGGCTGGGGACCCTCAGAGCGGGCTGGGGGTGGGGGGCTTGTCCTGGGTGTCCTGTGCAGCGAGGAGCTGGGTGCCAGCTGTGGTCTCCAAAGCAGCCCCAGGAATCAGATCCTTGTGGATCCTGGGGCTGGCTGTGCTTGGTGCAGTTCCCTCCATCCCCCTGCGCTCCAGGCTCTGACTGACGTGACCCACTTCTGCTGCTTCAGACCTGGAAAAAGGAGTTTGTGTTTGTTTTCCAGGTGGGTTCTGTTCCCATAAAAACGTCGTGTCCCTCTCCAGGATGAGACCTTGGGTGGCCCCAATCCAGAAATGCCCTCCCAGGATCCCCCTGAGGGCAGCTCCTGGGAGGAATTTGGGAAGCCGAGGGCCGTGGGATGGGGCTGATGGTGAAAAGCTGCTGTGGGAGTTTGTGTGTTGCTGTTTGGGACTTGATCCCTCCCCGATCCCTCTGTCCTGCTCCATCCCAGGAGTTTGCACCTCCTCTTTCCACTGGGGCTGATTCATAAAAACCCAAACACACGGCCTGGAACAGCTGAATCCTCCCAAACCTTGTCCTGTGCCATGAACTGAGAGCTCAGCCTAAAAATAGCCCCGTTGCCTGTTGGAGGTGTGGTCCTGACTGTGGATGAGGGCTGGGGAACCAGAAATAGCTCCTGAATCCCAGCCCAGCACAGCTCTTGCCTTCAGCAGCTGCTTTTTGGAGCAGCTCAGGCTCAGCACCTGAATTCCCTTTGGTGCTCACAGGGTGGGGTGGGGTGGGATGGGATCCATGGGATGAGATGNGGGACTGGAGGGGCTGGGATGGGATGGGATCCATGGGATGAGATGGGCTGGGATCCATGGGATGGGAACCATGGGATGAGATGGGATGGGATCCATGGGATGGGATCCATGGGATGGGACTGGAGGGGCTGGGATGGGATGGGATCCATGGGATGAGATGGGATGGGATGGGCTGGGCTGCGATGGGATGGGATCCATGGGGTGGGATCCATGAGATGGGATCCATGGGATGGGATGGGATCCATGGGATGGGATCCATGGGATGGGATGGGATCCATGGGATGGGATCCATGGGATGGGATCCATGGGATGAGATGGGATGGGATCCATGGGCTGGGATCCATGGGATGGGATCCATGGGATGAGATGGGAGGTGCTAGGGACATGTCCAGGCTGTTCCATCTCCTCCTTTCCTTGTGTTAATCCACCCAGATTCTCCCTGTTTTTTTCCACGGGATGATGTAAAGTACAAAGGCTCCTTTCAGGAGTTCTTTGTTTTCCTGTGCAGTGATTCAGCCCCTCAGTCTCTCCTTCCCCAGCTGCTGCAGCCCTTCCCTCCTGAGCTGTTTCCAGGTCCTGCATTAGAGTGAACATCAATGCACTGTGGGGTGTTCCAGGCAGCCTTTTCCCCTCCAATCCTTTGGGAAGAGTCCTCCTGATGCTCCTGCTCCTGCTCCCTGGCAGGGCTCAGCCTCTTCTGGGCTGCTTTTGTTGCTGGTGCCTGGCTCTAAGGGGTTAATGCTGCCTTTTTCCATGGGTTTGTTTTTTCCTGCCTGGATATTTTCAAGCTGACAGCCTGAGCACTGGAAATGTTGCAGTGGGCATTGGGTGGGGTGGGATAAGTGAGTGGTGGGAATAGGAGTGGATTCCCTGGGATTTAATTCCATGTCTGTGCCCAGCACTGTCCCTCCTGCACTTTGTGTGGTGAAGGACCTGGGAATGTTCCAGGGAATGAGGGGATTTTGTGCCCCCTTTGAAGGATCCCAGACAGGATTGGGTTGGAAGGGACCTTAAAACCCATCCAGTCCCACAGGCTGAGACACTTCCCACTATCCCAGTTCCTCCAGGCCCTGTCCAGCCTGGCTTTGGACACTTCTGGGTGTAGCATTCCCAAGCCTTCCAGCTCCTTCCTTCATCCAGGCTGTGAAAACTTCCTTGGCAGAAATCCAGCAACTCCTGGAGGACACAGTTCCAGTATTTTCCTCACCCTGGTGATTCCAGCATGGTCACACCTGCCTCCACCCTTCTCCTCCCTTCTCCTCCCTTTCCCCATCCCATCCCATTTTCCTTCCCTATTTATTTTTCTTCCCTCTTCACTCTCCAAGTGGATGAAGGCACCACTGGGACTTTTGTTTGCTGGGAAATTGTTAATGCATGTCAGAAGTGTCTTCACCTTCCATTGCTCCCAAGAAGCACAACATGGAGAAACTGGATCTGTCCCGAGCCTGCAGATGTCCTTGTGCCTTGTTAAGGGGAATTTTAATCAGGAATTCATTAAATGCTTGGATCTGGATGGGATCAGGGCAGTGGCTGTGCTGGATTCCTGCTCATGCTGCTGCAGCTGTGGGAAGTGGTGCCTGGGATTGGAGAGATGGAGCATCCCGTGGGGAGAAGGGAGTGATTTTTGGGAAGGAATGGTTCCCTCGTGGCCTGTGTTTGGTGCTGCCCCACAGGGATGTGCAAGTGGAGAACCAGAGGGTGGCTCTGGGATTGTCCCCAGCCCCACTGGCAGGAGT